GAGCACAAACCTTTCTGCAGAAAACAGTCGTGTAACCGTTTCATTTTCTATCTGAAGTTTGACATCAGAGGTTTGCTGCCTGGAAAGAAACTCCCCTTCCTCCTCATATTCTAGTAAAACACAAAATAATAATAATTCCTGTGTTGAAACCTAATTTACGTTTAGATTGGCCACTGTTAAATTTAAGCTACTTGATACTGTGTCATCTTTCCTCCCCATCCAGTCTCAGAGGGAATGACACATCAAATGACTGGCTTTATTCATCTTTTAATATTTTAAGAGCAGTCCTGTTTTATTTAACTTCCTTTCACTTTTAGGACTCTCTAGAATTTGGGGAATAGGAAAAACACTAACTTATGTATCTGCTCTCTACTGAATCTTAAGTAAAGCAGCAAGTTCTAACACCATGGGAAAAGTCAGCTGACTGTTACATAATTTGACAAATGCATAGGGGAGAAAACCTACTACTAACTAAAAGAAGAGAAAATGTCTACTTGGAAACAGGTCAGTATATGTATTCAGTGTTTTTCTGTGGGATCAGGTTTGTATCACCGCAATTCCAAACAGCATAACTAGGTCACTTTTAAGCATCATCCATTCAAAGCTGAGAAAATCTAGAAGAAGGGGAAAAAAAAAAAAAAAGATTCCAAGAGCATCAAGAGCATCAAATAAATATGTCATGCTAACACAGATTTTCTAAATTAGTGGATTGCACTGGCTGCATTCCCCTGGCGCACAGTAAAAAGTGTCAAATTATATTTATTTTTATTGACTCCCACCTGCCTTCTATTTCTAATATCTACTTAAAGAACAAGGGAGACCTATAATATCTAAGATACCAAAATTATTTTAATTTTCCCTTCAACAAGTATGATGAATGTACTAGGTCTTTAAGCTTCAAATTTTGCGACAGCTAATATTTTAATATAATTAAAGGCTTAAAAATGCACTAAAGAAATTAATAATTCCCTGACAGCAGAGATGTGCTTGTATTAAAGAAAGCCACTGCAACAAGCAACACAGAAATGCTTGATTTAATTCTGAGATCTTGGAGGTGGCTCCTTCTCAAAGCATCTGCTATATATCAGACTGATGAATTGCTTTATTAGTAACAGTGTGCACTGCTATTTTTATCACAGCCCAAAAACCCTGCCCATTCTGCAACATTGTTATGGGACACCAGCTAGAAGGGCACAGTTGCTCTGCCCAAGGGCCTATTATGTGGACACGCTGTGCAAGGAAAACTGTAAATACCATATGACATGAACGCAGTAAAAATAATCAAAGCCAAGAGCCCCGCGAAGAGGCACAACAGTGACCTGGCTTAACATCCAGGCCAAAAGAAAAAGTGATGTGCACTTTATGTATGCTGTGCATACAAAACACTAGCTTTTGCATGTTTTCTATCTGAGCTATCTCCAATGCTTTGGATTCCATTTTATTTAGAAGTTTGAGGACTCATCTTCTAAATATTCAAGAATCTTACAGGTCCCTTTAAAAGTCGGTGGAGACCAGGCATGGCAATTAAGCTGTTTTCCAAATAGTCTGAAAGACACTTTCCTCACTCACTTGTGGTACTGCTTGCTAACTCAGTCTCACAAGACATTTCCTGCCATGCCTTAACACACTGTAAGTTCTCCTTCGTCAGGATCAGGTACAGCTTTAAAAAGCTTAATTTTGAAATTTCACTACCAAAGCACCAACTATTTTACTTGTGGTTTACAAAAAGAAAAAAAGCAAGACACAAAATCCCTCAAAAACACAACTACCCAACTTCTATATAAAACAGAAAGTTACTATAAACCTAAGCTACTTGGCAGCAACATACATCTATTTTATAAAATGCAATTTACACTATCTTCAAAATTTATGCAGTTCAGGTACCTTACAGGTCAGATGGATTTTCTGTGTGCTTGTTTCCACGCTGTGAAATTTAGGATTGGAAGCTGATTTCATTTTAAGCACCGATATGTTTACACACAGGCAATAGTAAAATACAACACACTACTGCAGTTTAGCTTTGATTCATCATATGAAGAGAATGTCATTAGTAAGATTAGGACCTCTATGAAAGGCTCAGCACCACCATCCTCCAACATTACTTTTCTAATCACCTTTGTACTTTCTAGCTCATTACAGATGAAGGCACTGCAATTTGCCACATCTAAAATGCATTCATTTTATATGCTGATATATAGCATGTATTCTTAGCAGTGACATTAATAGGAGCAAAAAGCACTCATGATACTCCTAGATCAAAATCTTGAATCTCTATATATTACAGCTATAGTTATTGATAATAGAAATAAGGTAAAAAAGAGCTTCCAGAGCATGTTAAATTGTATAAGAGTTTGTAAAGCACAGAACGCGTAAAAAGTGTACCTGTGTGTAAAATTCCAGGTGCCGTAACTTCACAATAGGCTACCAGGATGCTATTAAGTTCAAATATAGGAATATGAGATAACTTTTTTTTTTTAATAACAAAGAATTAAAATGGAAATGGTTCCGTATATTTTTTATATTCTCTGTGGCTCCTGCAGTAAGTGATGCTGCTCTCAGCTAAGGGCAGACAATTAAAAATCAAATCAAATAAATAAAATAAAATAATGCTTTTCCTGGTGTATTGCCTGCATGCTGGATTTCCAGTCTTTTCTGCTAGCAAGATAAAACTGGGGTAGGCTTCAAAAGGAGAATGTTTCAAAGCAGGGTGCAGTGAGGCTCCGGTTTCGGAAGTGTGGCAGGCTCGGAGGGGTGCAGCTATGCAGAGACCCCTCTGCAAGGCCCGAAGCATCAGAAAGGGTCTGCAATACAAATACAGCAGTAGATTGGAAGCGATGACTGGTTACAGTCTGAAGGGCAGAGCAGGCAACAGAGACAGTCACTGCTTGGCTCTTCCATTTCCATCCCGCGCTGGCTCACCTTGAGCGCATCGCCATTTACTTATCGGAAAAGTGACTACAATACCTTCCTACACACTGATCAGCATCACCCCCAGAAGAAAACCACATTATGACCATCCTAAAAATAACCTGCGAATCATACTTGACCTTTAAGGTGTAGTATTTTATAATTAGAAGCACTGTCCAAAAGTAACTGTGTGATTTTGCAGAGTACAGTTCATCTTGAAAACATCCATGGAAGTAAACAGTGCTATTATGGTACCTACAACTCTTCTTGGGTGGCTAAAGGCTCTTGACCTCACAAGTTTTGCGTATGCACCAAGTGGGAGTTCAAACGCCCACATTTCTTCTCATAACAGTGCTCTGAACTCACGCTTAGAGCAGAAAGCCAGGGTGATCCCTAGTGCTTTTTCAAGTCCTGCCCTTCCCCTATTGCTTTTTTTTTTTTTTTTTTTTTTTTTTTTAAAGTCCTGCCTTTCATACAAAACCACCAAAGTTTAAATACATTCCCGTGAAAAATGCATCTTGACATGTAGCAATTAGGACATTTATCAACTACAACAAAACAATCCCTCCCTCAACAAGTTCCCTCGACACCCACACCAAAGAAGCTATAATGGTGTTTAATTATTAAACTCTGAGTAAAAGTTGTGAAAGTTCAGCTTACATATTTCTGCTTTTCATTTCTCTGAATGGATAAGTAACCAGTTTCATTTTGGGCTCTTTTATTTGAGGAGGAGGAACAAATAGTCATATTATTTTGAGTCTGCAGTAGAAAAATAAGGAATAGCTATTTGTCATGCAGATAACTGTCTGAACTGAATTAAGCATTGAAAAGCTTGTATTTTATTTTACAGTTTGAAGGGAGATTGAAAGGAGAAGTTCATTTTGAACTTTGAACAAAATTTAAACACACAATATTTCAAACAGCTAGATGGCTGTCACTTTTATTGTAAGGTCAGAAGTGTCCCTTTAATGAATGGTGTGTTAGCTTTCTATATTCTCAGGGATACAAATACAATTCTTACATTCTCATGGACTTACTGAGCCTCTAGACAACTGATGTGCCTCTGCTGTTGCTTATGGCTTCCCCAAACAGTCCCAAAATGGAATTAAAATGCTTCAGTTATTTTTAAACGAAGCTCTCCAGAACATCAATTTCACCCTGCAGCAGTTTAAACCAGCTTTCAGACAATTTATAGGATTTAACTAAAAGGAAAAACAGTTCCCCATCCTTTACCAAGCTATGAATAGGCAAAAAGGCAGGCTATGCCCCCATTTCATTTTTTTTTCTGGAGGTCATCTTCCAATTTAATCCCTCTGTGGAAGCCTGACACTATTCCAGCAGTGTTCATTACTCCGGTGCTGTACATGGAAGTTGCAAGTGAATACATGGTGTAAGGTAATTAATGACAACTGGTAACCACAAGGAAAAAGATGTGAAGTTTCCACAGCTTCAACAGCATCAGGAAGAGCACCTCAGTAGCTTGCTTAGAGCACCAAGTGTTACTCCTTTCCCTGTCCTCCCCACATCATTTACCACCAATGATTGAGAAAGGTACGTGTCGGGAGGAAATGGGAAAAAGGACAAAAAAAGAAAAAAACAAGGAGTTCTCCCAGTACCACAACAAGTCTCTGATACTAAAAACACACTGCCCACATAGCAGTGCAGATTCTAGCTTTATTATGATTACTGGCCACATATAACATTTAAAAGCAACCTCCAAACCCTTCCCACTCTCCCTGCTTTAAACATCACCTGTATTTATGTTAACAGAGCTCTTGTACCAGAAACCTATGTAGAGGTGGCCTCTCCTGCAGGAGACACAGCCTCATGAGGGACGAGGTGCTCCTCCTCTGCATGAAGATGCAGAGCCCAGGCGTGGATACACACTGTGCTCTATACTTACTTTATTCCAAAGCCTAAGCCAGATGATAAAACAGCATATCTTCCCCATGATCCAGGTGTAGAGGAGAGTAAGGTAAATAAGAACACTTGGTTACCACAAACTCCCAGAGAGCAGTAGGGTGACACACAGAAGGACACAGTGTGCTGTAACCCTGAATCTGATACCCTCACCTGTAAAGTAAGAGAGACTCTTACCTTTCTTCGTCCTTGAAAATGAACTTTCGCAGCTTGAGATCTCGCAGTACCAGTCCACCGTCATGGCAGTGTGCAACAGCAGAAGCTATTTGATAGAAGAGCTTGGCTGCCTCCTCCTCCTTGAGCTTCTTGCAGGTACGAACAAACGAATGCATGTCCCCATAGCTCCTTTCAAAGAATACATACGCTTTTGTCTCCCCAAGAATTATTTCAGTAATTTGGTTGATATTTTTATGTGCAGGCAGACAAAAACATGGTGCTAGTAACTCCTGGTAGCAGCCAATATCGAACACCTGCAGGAGCAACAACAGTGAAGCCAGGGTTAGCGACATGAGGGGCATCCATATCCTGATATACCTATGTTAGCACAACCCTCTCTAAGCAGCCTTATACTGTTTGCTGAAGCTGCACTGAGGCGAAGAGGATGCCGTAAGTCCACAGCACTAAGGACAAGACAACGCAGACAATACAGCTCCACACAGAAGATATGTGTAACCCAAGCTAGCCTTCAAAATCTGTAGCTATGCATACTTTACTATGTTGTATTTTCAGTAGCTAATAGCTGATCGAATTCAGAATGCAATCTGAATTCATATCAAGAGACTGGGGACAGACACATAGAAGCAGACAGCAGTCCTCAGAGGGAAACTTGCCTATCTGCTGTTTTAAGGAAACCCAAACAAATTCATGAGAATACAGCCAGCAGCTTCTATTGAGAGAAACGGTCAAATTAAACCCACTCTGACCCACAAATCTCTCCTGCGCTCTGTTATTAACTCATTAAAACTTTAAGTACTTTCAGGTTTAAAATGCCCTCTGTCACAGCTCGTATTTACTTCCTGCATTTCTCTCATCTCTGGCGGACGGCAGAGCCGGTTTCACTTTCGGAGCCCGGCGTTACAATGGCTGCTTATGAGCTCGGAAGGACAAGCGGGAAATCTCCCTGCCCTCCACAGCCTCCAAAAGGGCAGGACAAACTCCCCTCCCTCCCAAGTCGCGGCGTCTCAATCGGGTGCTCCACTAAAAGCCAAGTGTCCCTTTAATAGCAGGCATGCTATCACCACGCTTATGAATGAGCTGTAAGAATTAAAAAGGCTGCTGGGAAACCCAAATATAAAAAGTTACTATAATCTAGTGATGACGAATGAATCGGTGTTTGAGTCAATTGAGAAATGCCCACATTTGAAGAAGAAAGGCTTCATTGAGAATAACTGAAGTCAGTGTGCTGGAAGGGAATATAAACCCCGTATTGATAGACGTGATTTTTACTTCAATTATACCTGCTCCAGCTGTACTCCAAAGCAATGGATTAGCATTCCCACCAGCATAAAAACTCTATTAATATGTAACATACTCTTGGGTGCATTGTTACTTTGGTAAAAAGAATTTAAGGTAGCCATGCCTCAGCCTAGCAAACAGTTGACATAAAAATGAGGAACCGGTATAGGTCTTAAACCAGATGGTTTAAATTGCAAGTGCTTTTTTTGCTTTGTTTCTTTGTTTTGTTTTTTTTTTTTACATTTTCTATTCTAGAATTTGTATTCTAGCATTAGGTATTTATATCCTTTCCAAGAAGTAATCTTTGTTGCTTTCTCTAAAGCTTTCAAATGCTTCCAAAACTGGAAGTGCATGACATGGTTCAATCAGAATTTACCTGAAGCTCCAAAACGTGAGTCATTTAATGCTTCAGCACATAATCCTAACAAAGCCCCTTCTCAGAAAAGGATACAAAAAACAAGAGACCGCAGCATCCACTTTTCGCCTCCCTCTCACACCTCTCTCCACCCCTCCTACCTGTGCTGCTATACTCCAGCTCTGGCAAAAGCAACCTTAAAGGCAGGTTGCCAGCCTGAGCCAATGCATTTTGCAAAGAGCACATTAGCACGGAGGCACATTCTGGTGACACGGTGAACCTCGGACACAGTGTCGGGGTGGGAGGGGGTGCTGCTGCCATCCCTGCTGTGTGATTCATTCCAGGGGAAAATTCATTCACGTTTGCATCTCAGAACTCGTTCACTACTGCACTGTAAGTAAGTGAATGGCTCCTCAACCAAGCGGCTGCTATAAAATAAAATTTCAGAAAGAACATCCACCTAGCTCAAACCCTCATCCAAAAAAAAAAAAAACTTACCACAATTTTAACTAGATTATTCTGATATAAATTAGTTATTAGTTAGATTCCGTGTTTTTCACACTGTGTTAAGTAAGTAGGTCTGATATATATCAGCAACTAGGTTTAGAAGGGGGGGAGATGGGAAGCACTATCATATTGCTACAGTCTCAAATACCTTTTAAAAAGGGTTTCTTTGTGTGCCAGTGTTTGAGGTCCCTGGCCTCAATTCAGCAAATGTCCAATAAGCTGCAGCTTGATTTAGTTCTTGCTAGGAATTGCAAGCGAGATGTTACCATTGTTTGGATGCTACAGAGCCTTGAAGCAAATAACAGCATCTGTACAGGCAGTGGGTGCAGCCAAATGGATCTTGAGACTCGTCAGCATGTGTCTGTTATCCAAACCAATGTTTGTGCAAGCAATCTCTAAGAGCATCTTCAATAAGACACCAGATAGCAGGTCTCTTAGCCGGAAGGCTACCTGACAAATAGTAGCCAGGATACTGCAGGCATTTTAAAGCGTGCATTAAATTGAGTTTAGGACTGACAAGTGTGTGCTCACAAACTAGCAATTCAGGCTAAGATTGTATTTTTGAAGCTCAGCTAGAAGCAGTGCCTCATGTGTACATGGAAAATCTGATATAACTCAAACATCAGGATCAGTTTAAACACATACCGCTTAAAGGGAGGAAAAAAAAAATAAAAGTCCACTCTTTGTGAATGCCACTTATATTGTTATTAGAACAGCACTCCTGCAAATCCAAGGAGAAACAAAGAAGAGCACAGCCCCCAAGTTTTTACTTTCTATAGTAGAAGTTTACCTATAATTTCATGCAGAGTAGCAGCTTTGTGGGAGCCGTTTGTTTCATGAAAAGATGCCAATGTCCTAGAGTGCAGCACGGTACTACTGCCATGAGCAGGGCTTTCATTCTAGAAATTCTCATGTTCTGTGTCAGTTTGGTAACAAAGCATTCACTTCAGCATGCAATATTGGTCCTCTGCAAAGTCAGGAGCCCTTTTTTCCCCTCTAAATAATCACTTAAAGTCCAAAGCTGTCTTAACATCAGGTTTTATAACTCAATCGGAGAGTATATTTAAATCACCTTCTGAACTCAGAGCTTTATAAATAGCCAAATTAGTTTTAACTTTCCCAGCCACACGTTAGTTCATAACTTCTTATGAATTAAGTACTGAAGTATGAAATTGTCAACAATGCACTCATTAATCCCCCGAATGCAAATATTTTGTCTACTTTTCCGTTTACAGGCAGTAAATTCAACGACAGAATTTTGCTCAAGATAGTGGAATGGCATTATTCCATTTTGGGGGGAACAATACAGACACTGAAGCGTGTGCTGCAATGTTGCAATGTGCTACGTAGTTCTAAAAACTACTACTTGGAACTGCTTTGGTTTGCTGGGCATAAGTCTAGCTCAGTACAGACAATGAAAACTGCAATTTAGGAACAAAGGAAAAATATTCCCTCAGCCCAAAAAGAGAAAAACACCCCTGGACAGAGGGGCATGCACGTGGGTTTCTTTTTCCCACAGCTCACCTTTGAGCAGAAGCAGCAAATGGGGAGGAGGCACTGGGAAGCAGGCAAGCTACAAAGAGCGGGATTAGCTATTTTGTCTGCTCCTCCGAAAAACGTAGGTGTGCAGGTTTGAATCTTGCTCAATTGTGCAATGGGGGAGGATGCTGTTTGCAAACAACATCCTCGGCAAGGGAGCCCCGGCTGCTTAGTTCTTTGTGGATTTTTTAATCACTTTGAGGACAAAGCTGATGGCAGCCTCCCTCTTCCCCGTCACCCCCTTCCCTACCCCAACTCACAAAGAAGAAGGCGCCACAATACAAGAAGCCAGCGGGTCCCAACACCTTAAAATTACCCGGGGATTCCCTACTCCATTTTGAAAAGTGAGAGTGGGCAAGATGAGGATTCCTCGGGATCTAAACTCGCCTTAAGAACCCCCTTAAAGGACGGCTCTTTCCAGCACAACATCCCCGGGGCGAGAGGCTGCGCCGGCTCTCGGGCCCCCGCTATAACGCGGCCATTGTCTGGAGAGAGGGAAAAGTTACAGGATGCACCTTTGCATTTCCCACTGCCTTTTGTCTTTTAAAGTGCTTAATAATCGAACTACATTCACGGTTGCAGCCGGCCCCGCTGCAAGGCTCGGGAAATCGATAGGCTGCAGCACGCTACACAGGATTTAATGAGAACACGAGCCTTACCTTGCAGACGAGCTCCTCGCCGCTGTGCAGATGTACGGCTCGGAAAACGTGGTCTCCCTCGAGAGGCTCCAACAATAAGTACTTCCCGATGCAAGAAACGCAATGCGACAAGTTCGGAGTCTCCGGCGGGCTCGGGGAGCCTAGATTCGGGCTAAAACTCTGGCTCGGCTCGATGGAGCGTATGGAGGAGAGCTCTTCAAAATCCTGGGTTTTATTCCGCGGTCTCCCATATCGTGCTATCGCGATAGGGGTTGACCTTTGTATGTTCATGAGTATGGAGAAGCCCAACGGGAACGGCGCGCCGAAGCCCCTGCGCTCAGAGCCGTCCAGCTGCGG